CAGTAAAGTTGGAGTCTCCTATATTTATTTTTAACAATTTACTTGTAAAATACACATAACATAAAGACCACCATCTTAACTCTTTTTAAGTGTACAGTTCACAAGAATTAAGTACATTCACATCACTGTGTAGTCAGTTTCCAGAACATTTTATCTTGCAGCACTGAAATTCCATATCCATTAAACAGCAATCTTCCCACAGTCCCTCCTAAGCCCTTAGTAACCACCATTCTACATTGTGTCTTGATGAATTTCACCACTTTAGGTTCTTCATACAAGTGGAATCATACAGTACTTGTCTTTTTGTGGTAGACTTATTTTACTTAGCATCAGGTCCTCAAGATTTATGCATGTTACAGAATGTACCAGAATTTCCTCCATTTTTAAGGCTGAATAATATTCTGTTGTATGTATATACCATAGTTTGTTTATGCATTCATCAGCTGATGGACACTTGAGCTGCTTCCACCTTTAAGCTATTGTGCCTAAGGCTGCCATGAACGTCAGTATACTAATATCTTTTCAACACTATGCTTTTAATTCTTTTTGCTATATATCTAGCAGTGGAATTGCTGGATCATATGGTAAGTCTATTTTTAGGTTTCTGAGTAACTGTTATACTGTTTCCATGAGAGCTGTACCATTTTATGTTCCCATCAACACTGTAAAGAGTTCCAATTTCTGCACATCCTTGTGAACACTTTTTGGGTTTTTGAGAGTAGCCATTCTAAAACGTGTGAGGTGGTGACATTGTGGTTTTGGTAGCATTTTCCTAATGATTAGTGGTATTGAACATCTTTTCATATGCTTGTTGGTCATTGTAAATCTTTGTAGAAATGTCCATTTATATATTTCACCCAATTTTTAATTGTTTTGCTCTTGTTGTTCTTGTTGTTGAGTTTTAGGAGTTCTTTATGTTCAGGATATTAACCTCTTACTGGATATGTGATTAGCAAAAATTTTCTTCCATACTATAGATTGCTTTTTCATTTCCTTATTGTATCCTTTTATGCACAGAAGTTTTCAATTTTTGATGTAGTTCAATTGATCTATTTTTAATTCTTGTTGCCTATGCTTTTGGTGTCATATACAAGAAATCATTGCCAGATCCAATGTCATTAAACTTTCCTTATGTTTTCTTCCAAGAGTTCTATAATTTTAGCTCTTATATTTATGATCCATTTTGAGTTAATTTTTATATATGATATGAGGTAAGAGTCTAATATAATTCATTTTTATGTGTATATACAGTTTTCCCAACACCATTCATTGAGAAGACTGGCCTTTTCCATTCACCCTTGTTGAAAATCATTTGACTATATATGTGAGGGTTTACTTCTGGGCTGTCTCTTCTATTTGTCTATATGACTGCCTTTATGGCAGTGCCATACTGTTTTGATTACTATAGCTTTGTAATATAGTTTGAAATCAGGAAGTGCAATGCCTCCAACTTTGTTCTCCTTTCTCAAGCTTACTTTAGCTATTCAGTGTCTTTTGTGGTTCCCTACAAATATTAGGATTGTTTTTTCTATTTCTGTGAAAAATGCCACTGGAATTTTGATAGGAACTGAACTGACTCTGTAGATTGCTTTTAGCAGTAGAAACATTTATTTAATTGAAGTATCATTGACATACGGTCTTATATTGGTTTCAAATATACAACCCAGTGGTACAACAAGTACCCATATTATTAAGTCCTTACTTCTACTAGTTCAGTTACTATCTGTCAACATAGGAAGAAATTACAGAGTCGTTAACTATATTCTCTATGTTGTACTACCATCCCTGTGACCAACTTATATTATGATTGAGAATTTTTGTGTCCTTTTATCCCTCTCGCCCTTTCCACCCACCAACCCCTCCTTCATGGTAACCAACAGTCACTTCTTAGTGTCTGTGAGTCTAGTAAAGACATTTTAACAATATTATTTCTTCAAGTTCATGAGCACAGAATTCCTTTGCATTCTTCAATTTCTTTCATTATCATCTTATAGTTTTCAGTGTACAGATCTTTCATATCCTTGGTTAAACCTATGTCTAAGTATTTTATTCTTTTTGATGCTATTGTTAATGGGATTGTTTTCTTAATTTCTCTTTCTGATAGATTGTTGTTAGAGTATAGAAATGCAACTGATTTTCTATCCTGCAGCCTTAACTGAATTTGTCTACTAGTTCTAACAGTGTTTTTGAAGTAGTTTTTAACGTTTCCTATATATAGTATAATGTCATCTGCAAATAGAGACAATTTTACTTCTTTCTGATCTGGATGCTTTTTATTTCTTTTTCTTGCCTAATTGCTCTGGTTAAGACTTCCAGTACTGTGAAAAATAGAAAAGGTGAAAGTGAATATTATTGTCTTATTCCTGATCTGAGAGAAAGTTTTCAGCCTTTTACCACTGAGTATGATTTTAGTGTGGGCTTGTCATATATGGCTTTTAATTAGGCTGAGGTAGTTTCCTTCTATTCTTAGTTTGTTGAGGGTTTTTTTTAATCATGAAAGTTGAAATTCAAAAAGTTAAATGAAGGTTGAATTTCATCAAGTACTTTTTCTACATCTATAGAAATAACCATGGGCATTTTCCTCCCTTCATTCCTTATGTGATGTATTACATTCATTGATTTCCATATGTTGTAACATTCTTGCATTCTAGTATAAAATCCCATTTGGTCAGGTATATATCCTTTTAGTGTGCTGTTGAATTATGTCTGACAGTATTTTGTTGAGGAATTTTGCATCAACATTCATCAGGGATATTGGTCTGTAGTTTTCTTTTTTTGTAGTGTCTTTGTCTGGCTTTGGTATCAGGGTAACCCTGATCTCATATGTGAGTTTGGAAGTAATCTCTCCTATTCAGTTTTTTTGGAAGAGTCTGAGGCAGATTGGTGTTAATTTTTCTTTAAATATTTAGTAGAATTCACCAGTGAAGCCTCCTGGTAGTGGAATTTTCTTTTTTGGAAGTTGTTTTTTGTTACTAATTCAATCTTCTTGTTAGTGTGGATCTGTTTAGACTTATATTTCTTCATTAGTGAGTTTTCATAGGTTGTGTGTTTCTAGTAATTTATCCCTTTCATCTAAGTTACCTAATTTTTTGCCTATTCTATACATATTGCTCATTATTTTAATAGTGATGCAAACATTCCGGGGTTTAATCAAACCACACTTCATTCAGTCATCCCCCTGTTGAAAATCCTCCCTTGATTTTAGTTAGTGCTTTTGAATTAAAAAAAGTCAAAAATTTAAGCTGAAAGGACTTCAACTGGGACTATCTTTAAGTGATTATGGATGGTCATATGGTATAAGGGACTGAGACCTTAACTGAGAACTAAATTAAGCTGATTAGATTAAGTAAGCTTCTCAAACTGCTTCTACCATTAAGTGACTGTGTGACCTCAGAAAAGTCACTTAATTCCTCTGAACACTGGTTTATTCATCTCTGAAATGAGAGGGCCTCCCAGACACCTCCAAGGCTGAAATTGTGTAATTGCTCTACCAGATCATTCTTCCTTTAGGGCATGATCTGCCTGTGTCTGAATTACCTGGGTATCCTACAGAGTGCCTGCTGCACCATCTTACATTAGACACTCAGTAAATGATTGTTAAATAAAAGGGGGAATGAATGATTAGTAGCATATGGTAATGATAAGCAGCCAAATTTGCATTTTACTAAATTCACTTGCCATTTTATTTTATATTTTCCTCTCAGCAGGAGCTGTTAGGTAGTGATACCTGAAAGTGGTCAGTAGTGTCTTTTGGATTGGATCAGGTCTCTAGAAGATATGTCATGAAAATCAATTCTTTGCTTACACATTATCTTTTACTCATGCTTTCTAATTTCTTAATTTTCCTTAACCCTTGAATGAATAATGAATTGTAATTTTAACCAAAGTAATAGTGCTCATAAAAAGAGTAATTTCAATACTCTCCAGTTCTAAGTCCACTGAGCCAGGAATTAATCCTGATCCTTGTCTAAAAAAAAACCCTTAGTTATGAAGCATTCCTAATACTTCTGTTTAAATATGTTTAAATTCTTTGTATATGTGTATTATATATAAATGCATGTATATGTATAGTAAACATGTGTGTAGTTCTAAGTGAAAACATAAACCATAGTACAATTGACCCTTGAACAACATGCATTTGAACTGCATGGGTCCACCTCTATGTGGATTTTTTTCAATAAATATATTGGAAACATTTTTTGGGATTTGTGTCAATTGGAAAAAACATTTTATTTTCTCTAGCTTACTTTATTGTGAGAATATAGCACTTGATGCAGATAATGTACAAAATATGTGTTAATCAGCTGTTTGCATTATCAGTAAGGCTTCCAACAGTACATACAATACAGTAAACTATTGGTAGTTAAGTTTTTGGAGAGTCAAAAGTTATATGTCGATTTTCAACTGTACCAAGGGTTAGTACCCCTAAGCTCCCAGTTGTTCAAGGATCAACTGTAGATATGTTGATTCTAAAAATAGAACAAAATATTTATTATCCTCAGTTCCAGGTGAGAAACTGGGAGAAAAAGTTTGGGAGTAAAAATCTCCATTTAATTGAAAACATATTTCATCAGAGATGCATCCCCAACTTACACTTCTCTTGCTTTACTCTGCAAGACTACATGTAAATGGAAAAGAGTAACTTATTAGCATACATTGTCATTGATTGGAGATTGCCCAAAAAAGCATTCCTCTAACAGACATGAAAAAATAGGTCATATGGTGGCCCTTGATTCAGAGGTCCTGACTTCTGTAACTTTCTGGTTGTGAAGCACTGTGTGAGGTCAGATATGGTAATAGAGCCCGTACCACTTCTGAGGCCCCAGATAACTGCCTTTGTGCTAACATTTTATGCGAATTAACCTCCACTGAATCTGATCAAATTTCCATATGATATAAGAGCCATGTGGGATATCAAAAACAAATTGAAATCTTTTGTGTGACTTTCTGTGAAATATACATCATGAACACAATCAATGAAAAAGAGATATGTTTGCTGTATCAAGTATATATAGTTTATTAGGTATTGGTGTTTTATTCCTTTTTCATAGGAAGTGCAATTTTCAGGACAGTGGAGTATAAGAGGTGAATGTATCTGAGAAGGGCAGATGGTTCTTCTATGGCCTTGGCAGCATTGAACCACGGAGAGTAGAAGCAAATGTTTGCTGAAGGTCAATTCCAAGGCAAACTGCTTTTCCCATTTCTGGCACCAAATTTGTATTTTGGCAGCCTTAGTGGGGGAGATCAGAGTCTTTCTGGTGTAGAATGGAATCAGATAGCTCTGTGAAGCCCAAATATTTGGTAACTCCCACAACAAAGAGCCCAGTAAAAGTTCAAGATTTTGCTAATGGTCCAGGGTAGTTGAGATATTCGTAAGTTGAGTTAGAAGTTGAAACTTCAAGTTAAAAATCAGCAGCCTGGCTTTTAGCAGGTGGGCTCACAGCAGTAAGCACAGCAGGCTGGGCGGCAGGAGGATTGTCCACAGTAGGATGGGCGGCAGCAGGAGGCCTGGGCATGGTGCAGCTGGCAGCAGGATGGGGGTATGCAGCTCACCACACAGCAGGGGGGCAGGACGGTGCCCTCCACGCGGCAGTCAGGGCGGCACCACCTGGTGCGGCAGCTCACAGCTCCGGAGCCACCCTCCAGGCCACAGCCGGTGCCATAGCCAGTGCCACAGCCGATGCCACAGCCGGTGCCATAGCCAGTGCCACAGCCGATGCCACAGCCGGTTCCACAGGAGCTGGTCGGGCAGCAGGTTGGCTGGCAGCAGCTGGAGCCACAGGTCCCAGCGGTGGAGCAGCTGGGGAACCCACAGAAGTTAGTGGAGCAGCAGGCCATGGTGTCAGGAGCTGGCTGAGAGTTGGGTTGCTGGGAGTAGTTTTTGAGTTTTGGCAGTGACTTCCACAATGGGCCTTTTATAAGCCTTGACCAGCTATTATTTACATAATTTCCGAAGTCTCTTCCTTGTTTGTGTTTAAGAAATTTGTCTCTGAATGATAATTACCTGTCCCTGAGTTATTTGTTGAACCTCCAAAAGCCTTTAAAAGTTGATTTTATATGGTCTTCAATTAGGAGTCTTGACCGTGGTGAAGTAGTCATTAGTGTTCATTGACTACCTGACCCCTTGTCACATGTATGTGTAAAATTTGCTCATTGCCCTGAAAATAATTGGCTTATGCCTCACCTTTAAGTAGTGTCAGGATTACTCAATGTTGACCCTGATAATTGAGCTCCTGGGTCTCACATGACAGTTTACTTCCCAGCATCCCAGCCAGTGTTGACTGCTGCCCCTTTCCCTTCCTCATCTTCACTTTGGCCAGAAACGGATGCTTTCTTTGGGACTAAGAAATGTGAATAAACTGTTATTGATAAGCTTTTTGGAGCACTATGTATATGCTCAAACAGTTTTGACTACTTTGCTTGTATCAGTTCATTTAATTTTCACTGTAATCCTATCAGGTAGGTATCATTGCTACTCCCATCATCTATGTGAAGAAACTGAGCTGCAAAGAGATTTAAGTCATTTACCCAAGTTCACACTAAGATTCAAGTGGTGAATCTGAAATTTGAACCCATGCTATCTGACTCCAGACTAAACTCTTTTTACCATTACAGTGAATTCCCTATTTTCCAAGTAAACCATTTAGAGAAAATCAGAGGGTAAGAGCCAGATGTGAAAATTTGTTCACTTTCTTACAGACTTTTCTGAGAGTGAAGGGAAGGAAAATAGAGTTTAGGGTAGTAATGCTATTTATTAGAGACTTCTCTGGATGTTTTATTTTCTTTAACTGCATAATTGCACTTCAAGAAAATCTCAAGTGCTAAAAAGGTTAACCTACTTGACTTGTGACTTCATCTAATCTTTGATCTTAGGATGTCCTATAAATTTAAATGTTCTGAATGGCATAAAAACCACACTCATATTTTTAGTAGTGGAGTATGTGGCACACTATCATGTGTTAGATTTGCAGTATGCATTCACTGCAGGTGTTAGAAACCAGTCCAACTCACTGGGAAGTTTACATAATTTAAATAAGGCAACTGATTGAGGGTGAAGATGAAAATTTTGTTTAGGTACAATGAGAGGTGACCTAGTCTCCATGGAGTGTGGGCTCTATTACAGGGAAATGGAATTTAAAATGCCACTTACAGGGTTTAAGCCAGAATGGTGTTGCTGCTCTAGAAATGACAGTTTTGAATTTAGATCGTAACTCTTCCTAAGACATAATTAAGACATTTTCAAATCCTACATCAAATTTGAATGAAAAGATTCTCTGTGAAATTTTCGCTACTTCTCCTTAAGCAAATCTACATCACCAATCCTTTAATTAGTTAATTTCCCTACCATGTATGTTTGAAATGTGTGGATTTGTCATTACTACAATCTCAGGAGTTGTTTATTCATATCGAAGTACAGTAGAATCTTTGATACTAAAAAGTTTTCCCTGCAAAAAATTCAGGTGTTTGAGGTGTTGCAATACATACCGATAAGGACATTAGAGATAGTAGCATTAGCTATCAGATCTCCCTTTCTGTGTTTTCAGTATCTCAGTGTAAAATTTAACTCAATTTTCACATTTCTGGTCCTTAGTTACTCTTAGGGAATTATGAAGAATAAGGTGTTTTAGTCAGAGTTCTCCAGAGAAATAGAATCAATAGGTTATGTATAAATGCATAGGAAGAGATTTATTATGAGGGATTAGCTCATGTAGTTATGGAGACTGAGAAGTCCACCAGCACTGAAGTCTGAGGCAGGAGAAGATGGGTGTCCCAGCTCAAGCAAGGTAGCAAATTCTCCCTCACTCTGCCTTTTTGTTCTATTTGGTGTCTCAGTGGATTTGACTATGACCACCCACAGCGGTGAGGGCACTCTACTAAGTCTGTGGGTTCAAATGCTAATCTCTTCTGAAAATCCCCTCACAGACACACCCAGAAATAATGTTACCAGCTCTCTGGGGATCCCTTAGCCCAGTCAAGTTGATACATAAAATTAACCATCACATAAGGTATGACAGTAAATATTTGAGAATTCTACTCTTCTGCCACAGAATAAAGACTAATCTGAACATTCCCTTACCTCCCCTAAATAAATCAAGAAAATAAAGTTCTTTCCTTCTACGACTTAAATCCATTTCTTCTTGATTGGTTCTCATACAGAGTAGGAAGTTATAATTACTTGTGATGTCTTTCTGTGTAGATTTCCTATCTTGTTTAAATGCTAGATACCTCTATCTGTGATCTTCTTTGGGAAAAAAATATCAGTACCTTTACATTTAAAGCTATGTTATTACTGTGCTTGTTCTCTTTGGTTTTCTTTACTTTGTTTAAGCCATGGAGCTCAGACCATTCTAGAGCCATAAGAAGACAGGATGTTTTTGTCTGTAATTCTTGAATGTTTGCCTTCTGTTTACAAATACTAATGTTTTAAGTTAATCTTTCTTTAAGATGTCAGGGTTCTAGTTTTCTTGTTATTAGTTTTGGGGGTTCTCTCAATTCCTTAAACTCCATTTTACTAGCTCTTTCATTCAGTTGTATCTGCCTTAGAGTCCTGAGAGATAAGACATGGTTGATGCAGCAACTGATCAAACACTGCAACTTTTTATCCAAAACCAAATAACAAGATGTTTGTCTCCTGAATGCAAACCTGGCTCTTCTGAGCTGAAGTCCTAAGGTACATCCAACCTAAATCTTCCTAATCTTTCACAAGAGATTTATTTGTGATGGGGAATAGAATGTTGACCATGTTTTAGAGACGTAGTCTATGAATGTGTAGGTTGTGCCCTGACGGGGGGCTCTGTCCACTTAGAGAAGGAGAACCTCTCTTCACACAAAAGATGCTGAAGCTCAAACAGCTGTGCATTGCTTGGACTGTGTCTCCCACAGCAGTGATGCCTTTTTTCTAATTCTCATAAAATTGTGCTAGTGGAGACCCCAGTCCTTTGATTTTTTTAAAGCCAAGGTGAAATTCACATAAAATACAACAAACCATCTTAAATTGTACAACTGAATGGCATGTAGTGCATTCATCATGTTGTGCAGCCACCACACACGCTATAGTTGCAGAACTTCTTCACTCTGGAAGAGCATCTAATGAGTTTTAAGTAACCACTCCCCACTCCCCTTGACCTCTAGCTACTGGCTCACCACTTCGGTTTTATGACCAAAAATTTTATCCATTTGAGTGGAAGCTCCCTTATGTCTTTTATTTCATCCTTACTTCATTCTAGAACTCCCTCTGGAGATTAGAATAAGAATGGGGATAGTGTATGCTGACATCATTTATTTAAATCCATCCTTATAATGAACATTTATTTTCTACTTCACAGTACGTGAGAGAATTGTATAGATGTTATAAAAAGATCAGCTGAAATTTCCTTTCATCATTTTCTAAAGTATATTTTGAGGAACACTTTTGTTAGTTGGTAATAAAGGAACAGGGGATGCCCTGATTACATCAGTTTGGGAGTGATCGGTATAGAGGTTCCTTCATTGCAGGACATCTTAGTCCCTTTAATATTCTAATGTGTTTACAGGACTTCAAGACGGTGAAAATGCATGCAACATTATTTGACCAATGAATATTTTTTCCCCTTTGGGCATCTGAAGAGACTAATTGTCGGTGAGTCACCTGTGTAGGAAATGATGCTGATCTCTTATCCTCTGCTTGGAAGAGAGAGTATAAGAAATAAAATTTAACTCTCTAATTTTCTAGGTTTTCTAGCTGGTGACAGGCAGGTGAAGGGATTTGCTCAAGAGTACATGGATTGTTAGTTACAAAGTAGAGACCAGAACTCAGGTTGCCTTTGCATCTTATGCTGTTACTTTAAATCTTGTATTTACTGTCTTTCCAATTATGTATTATCCTTTTATACCACTGATGATTGAAAGGATTGCACACAGAATCATGTGAATGAAATGAATAGATTTGGCAATATCTCAGATGCTAAATGACATAAAAATCCTTTCTATACAATTGATCTTTTGAATCAATTTGTACATGTCAATTTGTACATGTGAGGACCTTGGGAAATAGTTCCTAAATAAAATGTATGATGTATTTTTTAATCATACATTTTAGTTGCAAACTGTTGCACCATTTAATGGCAGAACAAAGGAAAACCATTTCTTAAAGACCATTATTAAAAGGACAAAAACAAAGAAACATCATAGTACCATGACACATTTATTGATACCTAAAAAAACCTCAGTACCCCAATTTCCATAACAAATTCCAAAGAAAAGAAAGCTCTAACAATGACTTCGTCACTGAAAAATGCAAAATCCAGTGAATTGTTGAGCTATTTCAGATGATATTTAGAGTAAGGCTTTACACATCTCTTTTCACGTTGTAGGACTTCTGTTGGTATCCAGCTCTATGAAATACTTTTGGTCTTCCATTATAAATTAATTTACATTTGGGGGAAATTATGTAGCCATGTGACAAGAGATTGCAAGCTGAGTTATGGGTGTTGGAGCTCAGAAGTTGGTGGGGACTTTACATGGGCTAGTTTTGAAGTGCGATTTTGTCAGGATTTCCATCAGAAGGAGATTTTCAGCAGGTGGGCTCACAGCAGTAGGCACAGCAGGCGGGGCGGCAGGATGACTGTCCGCAGTAGGATGGGCGGCAGCAGGAGGCCTGGGCATGGTGCAGCTGGCAGCAGGATGGGGGTATGCAGCTCACCACACAGCAGGGGGGCAGGACAGTGCCCTCCACGCGGCAGTCAGGGCGGCACCACCTGGTGCGGCAGCTCACAGCTCCGGAGCCACCCTCCAGGCCGTAGCCAGTGCCATAGCCAGTGCCACAGCCGATGCCACAGCCGGTTCCACAGGAGCTGGTCGGGCAGCAGGTTGGCTGGCAGCAGCTAGAGCCACAGGTCCCAGCGGTGGAGCAGCTGGGGAACCCACAGAAGTTAGTGGAGCAGCAGGCCATGGTGTCGGGAGCTGGTCTGAGAGTTGGGTTGCTGGAGGAGTTTCTGAGTTAGGGTTGCTTGTTCCTCCCAGGCCTTTTATAGGCCTTGGCCAGTGCCTATGTTTGTGATGGGCAGCATTTTTATCCTGTTACTCTTTAAGCAAGCTTTTCTGTGGCCCTCGGATTATTCAAATAGTGAATTGTTTTAAATGTATCTCCAAATTGGTTTTTCCTTATTGCTCAGCTAATATTCCGTAAATGTGTTTGTCTTTGGTAGAAGTGTTGATGTTTCATTTTCAAACAATGCTGTAATTTCCCCTCAGGCCTCTGTTCTGTTCTTGTGATCGCATCACCTGACAAAGTGACTCTCACTCATAAGACAACGCTGCTTTAGAGTCATGTTTACCCAAACTCGAGTCTCCAGAAAAAAATTATTAATCATTAACTGCTCTTCATGTAAGGCTATCTTTATATTTTTGAGGATAATAAGATTATAGTCTCTATAATCAGACAGACAGAAACTCTGATAAATTCCACATTCATGGAAACTTACAGATCTTTCCAGAAATTGGATCTCTGATTTCTGTGATCTCCCCTGAGCCTCACACATTCAAATTTGATGAAATATTTATCACTCAGGAGGATATAGGGAACAAAAACTGTTCCATTCCAATTTCCTGTAGATATTTTATTAGCACAAATTTGAAAGAAGTGTTTAAAATTATATCCAGTAATTAGTAAAGAATCACAAAAAATTTTTATGTAATTTTTATTTCTCTATAAAAGATAAAAATCACTGCTATATGGATTACCTGGCCAGTATCCATTTCTCAAAGATGAGATTTATTTTCAGTTTGTCATTTTATGTAACTACATTATGTGTCCTATGAGAAGATATTACACCGAAGAGCATGACAATTGAAATCATGAAGAGAATTCATAATTCTTTTACTGACAAAAGAAAAGGGAGTTAGGAAATACTTTTCTGGATCACAGTGTTTATATGGCAGGTTAGGAAAAGGATGACTGATATCATTCAATAGGCATATGTGCAAAGGGATTAAGTATATCTTATACTTAAGGTATAAGAAAATTGATGTTATGGTATGGACCACTTTTAATTTCCCCTCAACATCAGTTTATGTTAAAATACTGTTGAATCTGTGAGTGGCTACATTGTAGAGAAGTTAAGTGACTTGCTCCATTTACATGGTACATAGCCAGAAGAGCTGGGTATAAATTTCAGCAAAATGAAAATTGAAACAATTTCTGGTGGTTGGTAAAAGAAGGAATGTGATTTTCCATTTGGAATTTAGGTTTACATTGAAGGAATGAAAAAAAGTGGTGGCCAACAGAACATATTATTGCCACTCATGGGAGGTTTATTCCTCCCTTTCAATCATGAATGGAAGCACATAGTTAGTTTTTTTATGAGGTGGAGGTATTGGTTTGTACAGTGATAGAATTACATTAGAATATGATTCATAAAGATGTTGATGTTATATGATAACCATGACTATAGGTTTGAAGTTGAGAAATGGTTAAAGGAATCATCAAATATTGGAGATAAAAAACCTAATAAATCATCTTATCCAGCTACTTAATTTTATAAGTGTAGACACTGATAATATTCTTCTTATAAATAGTATATGTTTGTTGAATCCTATTATATACAAAGCACTAAAGGGCTGCCCGGAAAACAAGACCCAGTCTGTCTGCCTCATATCTTTCCCTTGTGCACAAATAAGTGTAGTACTGATAGGGATTAATGAAAGAAAAGAGTTGACTATAGAACCATTTGGCTTCAGAGTTCTCAGTTGGAGCACTGATGTGGTATGGACTACTTTCAATTTCCTATCAGCATCAGTTGATTTTAGAATACCGTTGAGTTTAGAAATTGCTGCATTTTGGAGAGGTTAGCAACTTCCTCCGTTAATACAGTATGTAGCCAGAAGAGTTGGGTATAAAACTCCTATCTTTCCTTCCTAGATCAGTTCATTTTACTTTATACCATGCCGCTTTCCAAGATCAATTAGAGTTATTAAAACTCTGTCTCTTATATTTAAAAAAATTTACAGTAGCTCAAGAATAGAAATATTAGTGGTGGGCAGAATACACTGTAGAATAGTGACTTTAAACACACAGTAAATAAGCATCAATATGTTCAAATTCTTTCAAGGTCAGAAGAGTTTCTCCTAGAACTACAATAAGTCACATTAGGTTCCTAATTGTTTCCTACATTCATATTAGTTAATATACCATCTGGGTTTCTGTATTTGCCACACTCTTTGCATTTTCTTTATTTTATGGCCATTATCTTAGTCCAGCCCTTACTATATATTGCTTGGACCAGGGTAATGGCCTCTTGATTTATTCATGTGTAGTTGTTATGTGTCTAACCTTTGGCCTTCTGTTTTTATAACTAGCTACCATATGAACCATCCATGCCTGATGCCTGTCATGCCATTCCCCTGCCCCAAGGCTTTTGATAGCTCCTTTGTGCTATTGCATCAAGGCATACTCCTTTGGCTAGTATTCAAAGCATACACATTTCCCAAATTTACCTTCCACTGTTACTCTTCATATATACAGTGCTCCCAGCCAAACTATCCTCTGAATAACCCCTCTCTATATACCTTTGTGTATACAGTTTCTGTTTTTGAGAATGCTGTTTTCCCTTAGATCTGTACACCAAAATCTTAACCCATATACAATTCTAGCTTCTTTTTCAGTCTTTCTTGTTCTTCCCAATTAATAGTGACTTCTCTGTTGACAGGATAGTGGGGAAAAGTTGTATGTCTCCTTTTCATAGTCTAACTTTTAGTTGAGTTATTGTGAATTTCATTCATCTCCTTAGGAGTTTCTTATGGAGGGGAACATTTTTAAGTCAATTTTAATTTCAATTGTATACTACACAGTCCGTGACTTGAAGATGGTTGGCTATCAATAAATTTTTGTTATGTTTAAATTTAATGAAAATTATTGCAATGAATAAGTAATACCAAATCTGTGTTTGCTAGGCCAAAGATTTGTTTATTAGAAAATAAACATGTTACAAGTTTAAAGGTCTAAGATGGGAAAAAGAAAGTTGCTACTGCTACAAAGATGCGTCTGGATCTCCATTCAATCCTGGTTGACTTGGGGTCTTGATGGCTCAGGTCAGAAGGTTTTTTAGGTAGATAAATGGGAGTATGACTTTTTCAGAAGGTTGATTACTTGCTCTAGGCAGTCAGTGCACTGCTCAGCAGCAAGAGGTCCTGCAGGTGCTGCGGCAGGCGGCAGGCTGGCAGCAGGGGGGGCGGCAGCAGGGGGCCTGCACAGAGATGGGCTGGCAGCAGGTGGAGGCCCAGCAGCAGGGGCGGCAGACCACGGCCGTGCAGGACGTGGGGCAGCAGAAGATGGGGCAGCAGCAGCCGTCCTGCCCGGAGCATGGGTCACAGCAGACGGGGCGCCGGCAGGGCTCGCAGATGGGGCGTGTGCAGCGGGGCACGCAGGTCACGGGGCGGCACACGGTGGTCTGGGAAGACACGGGGAGACAGCAGCAGGGGTCGCGGTAGCAGCCTCCCCCACAGCTCAGGGAGGAGAAGCCGGAGCCGCAACAGGAGTCGATCATGGTGGTGTCTGGAGCTGGGCTGGGTTGGGCTGGTGAGAGGATTTGGGTGTTCTTGGGTGTGAATGTCTTCCTCCTGCTCTGGGCCCTTTATATACCCTGCACAGGTGCTGATGACCTCTCTTGTTTATCTTTTAGCCAATTAAATAGAATTTTGTTTTGACTAATGGTTGTATTGCATGTGACATACTTATGATCTCATTAAGGAACTCTTCTTGCATCCCTAAATATGGATATATTCATGTTGTTCATCACCATCTAAGCACTCACAGCCACTTGAGGTGATAGCAGCTCTTGACACTTATTTTGGTAGATAGAATCTGATGAGTACTGGGCAAAATGGTCCTAAAGGAACTGAAATTTTTTAAGTAAGTTAAACAACTAAGAGTGTCCAGAGCCCTGAGAAGGTCCTGTCCTTGACCCTTAAGAGATCCCCTGAAAAGCCTACAAGTGAATCAGGTATCAGTTATGTCCTTTGGGGTGGATTCCTTGGGAATACGTTTACTTATCACCTGACGTAATGGAATGCATAGGCCTTGAATATGACTGCATCTTATATACTTGCATGCGAAAGGCAAAAGTTCATTTTTGTAAACATTGGAATAAAACATCCAAGATTGCCATCCATTTTCTTTTTTCTCTTCTCCTGTTCAGGTTGTATGCAACTCTGGTACTTCTGGTCACAGAATGGTGATTTTATCTCTGAGACATGACATTTTTTATACTCACCTTTTCTGTATATGTGATAAAGAATCATGTAATGATAAGTTTTTTTTTTTTACATATCCCTTGACATGGGTGCAGGGGCTATGAGTAAGAAGTGACAAGATGGAGGTTTTTCCAACCAACATTGCAAACAAATACAGTACGTTGTTCAGAGGCCGCAGAGCTGCTCTGCAATGGCATTGCTAGAAGTGTGATGGATGTGCTTCTTCGGGGAATATTTGCCAAGGCAGTTGAAGAATTGCATGGAGGAAATGGCCTCATTACTTTTCAGCTTTACCCCTCCAGTTATTTACCAGACAGGAATTTGGGGTCATTCCCATCATTCAAAAGAATATGCCTCAGGCCCTAGGAGCTAAGTCTCCCCAAATGGAATTTCAAACATTATTTCAAAACTTTAAAGGGAATGTAAATGGACTGAACTGAACGTATAGTCACAACTGGGGAAACAGAGGAGGGAGAAATCAAGGGCAGTCTCATCAGTGGGTACCTCAACTCTCATGTTTCACATTCTTTCCCTTGTCCGGGGACGCACATGATTTTTCAGAGCAGGAACCAGAGTCTAGATAAAAACTTGCATATTCCTCTCTTTCCTCCCCCAGTTTTTTTGAAATATAATTGACATATAATATTGTGTAAGTTTAAAGTGTACATTGTGATGGTTTGATACGCATATATATTGCAAAATGTTTATCGCAATAAGGTTAGTTAATACATCCTTCACCCCATGTAACTACTATTTTGTTATTATGATGAGAACACTAAAGCTCTACTCTCTTGGCAGCTTTCAAATATACAGTGAGGTGACTGTAGTTACCATGCTATGCATTGGCTCCTCAGAACTCACTCATCTTAAACCTTTACGTTTATACCCTTCAACCAACAGCTTCCCATTTCTTCCACCTCTTAGCCCCTGGCAACCACGTCTCTACTCTGTTTCTGTGAGTTCAGTGTTCTTGATTCCACTTATAAGTGAGATCATACAATGTTTGTCTGCTTTGTCTGACTTATTTCACTTAGCATAATGCCCTCAAGTTTCATCTAGGTTGTCACAAGTGGCAGGATTTCCTTCTTTATGACTGAATAATATTCCACTATGTATTGTACAGACATCACATTTTCTTTATCCGTTTATCCATCAGTGGACATTAGGTTGTTTCAACCTCTTGGTTATTGTGAATAATGCTGTAATGAACATGGGGTATCTCTTTGAGAGAGTGATTTCATACCCTTCAGATATATACCCAGAAGTGGAATTGCTGGATCCTATGGTAGTCCAATTTTTAATTTTTGGAGAAGTCTTCCTGCTGTTTTCCTTAGTGGCTGCACCAGTTTACATTCTTACTAACAGTGCACCAAAGTTCCTTTTTCTCTACATTCTTACCAGCATTTGTTATCTCTTAGCTTTTTGATAATAGCCATTCTAACAGGTGTGAGGTGATATCACATTGTGTTTTTCATTTGCATTTCCCTGACAGTGAGTGATGTTGAGCACCTTTTTGTATACTTATTGGCCATCTGTATGTTTTCTTTGGAAAAATATCTGTTCACGTCTGCTGCCCCTTTTTAATTGGATTGTTTTTGGTTTGTTTTTGTTATCGGCTTGTAGGAATTCCTTATGTATTTTGGGTATTAACCCCTTATCAGATATATGGATTGCAAATATTTTCTTCTATTTGGTAGGTTGCCATTTCATTTTCTTGGTCATTTCTTTTGCTGTGCAGAAGCTTTTCAGTTTGATGTGGTCCCACTTGTTGATTTTTGCTTTTGCTCATAATGCTTTACTCTTTTCAAGGCACATTGTCCCATTATCAATTTTTCATGTTGCCACGGGTGTTTATGATGACCACATTGTGTGCAGAGGGAACCTCTTCAGATTATAGATAAAACCTCAAGTTAACAAGTCTAATTTCTCTGTCCTAGACACTTCTGATACAAAATCATTCCAAAGAGATTTTTCTCCCCACTTTATAATGATCCACAAACACAGAGAATCTGTGAGTCCCTCAGTAAGTAAGCAATTCTAGCATTTATTCAGTCTGAGGCACTCATCCCCACCTTCAGCCAAACTTCATTTTGGGACAGAGAAAATATGGGTCATGTTTCAGTAATACGTGCCACAAGGTTCTGTGATTGACACTGGTGACAAGTCATATGCTATTTTCTGACACCACTTATCCTAAAACCAGACGACACTCATTAAAACATTGCCACATAACTGGTCATGTATCCTTGTACCATGGGGGATAATATTAATATATACTAGGGTTGTTGTGAGCATTAAGTGATCTAATATTTGTCAAGCACTAAGAACAGTGCCTGGCACTTAGGAAGTGTCTAATATTTGTTAAGTAAATAAATATATTTTTAAAGGTCATGTTACATTGGTGCCTTATAAACTCTAAGTTTTGAATTTAGAACAAAGATGAGTGTATTTGATATGGCAGATAGCCAGTTCTTTGCTTAGTCACCCCAGAGTACATATTAAATAGGATTGTTCAGTGAGGACTTTCATTAAAAGCATGAAATAAAATAAAAATATCTGGAAGGAAGATAGAGAGCCCCCACTTTTGGGGAGGAAGTCCAACTTCTGAAAGAGGAGTCAGGCTGCGGTAGAACCAATAAGGAGGATAATGTTAGAATTGTGGATAGTGGCATGAGCCCTACTGAGTCCTATAGCCCATGCAACACAGAGTGGGATCTTAGGAAAATATTCCTAAAAAAAAAGACTTACAACTAATTTAGATGGACTCCTACTGGTAACGGGCAACATGTTTTACATAAAGGGCTTTATTTAACAGTATCATTCAACATTATGGAAAGGTTTTAACTTGAAAGATATTGTCTTGTTTGTGTTTTCAATTCTCAATTATCTGTACAAATGGACAAAAACAATGGTATGTGTAATCTGAAACAGCTACTGGTTTTAAAAAATACTTAATTTGGAACATATCAAAAGGGCATCTTATTTTAAGCAATTGAGATGATACTAAAATGTTAAAATATAATTTGATGACATTTGAAAGATATCAGAGAAGTCCACTATATGTAACATAATGGTATTCTTTTCTATGTACTGAAAGACATCTTTAGGGGTACCAATAGCTACTATCTATCTGCTTTAAATTCATTTAGACTTTGATAGGTAGGCTTTTAAAAGCAGAGCATAATTGTGAGAAAGGTTTAAATATTTTTCCCAAAATAGATGTAGGTTCTAGCAAGTCCATTTCATTAAAAATAAAATATGTTCATTAAAAAAACTATGTAATTAAGAAGAATATTTTAAAAATGAATATTATCCCCAGTTACTCTTGGATTTTGTTGCATGATGTCCCAGATAATTTCTTAGGCATAAATACACATAGACACACAGAACATATTTCTCCTTACAAAATAGCTTAATATTTTACAGCATACTTACTTTTTACTTAAATATATCACAAGACAATTGCATGATGTTTCCTAAGTTTACAATCTTCAGCTATTTTTTAATACAGAATGTATGTAGTATATTTTATTACATACAATAACAATTTCTCTCACACGCACACATCCAATTCTGTTAGCTCCTCCTTCAAAACCTGTCCAGAATCTGAATACTTCCTCTCTCTTCTTAAGCCACGCCCTGGGTCACAGCACCATCTTACTGACCTGGGCCATTGCCATGGCCTCCTCACTGGTCTCTCCACTTCCCAGCCCTGCTCCAGCCTCTGTTGCCCCAGCAGCCAGAGAAATCCTGCCCTTCACTGCACAGATGGGACAGTAATGGGAGAGGCGACCAGACACAGAGGTGGTGTCAGGGCCAGGCCGTGGCCTGTTCACAGCATGCAGGGGACCTTGTACTCTGTACAGTTTGGAGCCACCCTGGCTGAGCACGTGAGTGTGGGAATGGGGAGTGCCTATGCATACCTGCATTCCCTTTCCCAGCAGGTCTACAGGTATTTTAGAGCACAGCTCTTTTGCTCTGGCTCTGTGGCCTCGGGCAAGTTGCCTAATCTCTTTTTTTTTTTCCTTTTTAATTAAGGTGTCATTGATTTGCAATCTTATGAAGGTTTCACATGAACCATATTGTGGTTTCAACATTCACTCATATTATCAAATCCCCCCCTGCTGCCACCCCATTGCAGTCACTGTCCATCAGTGTAGTAAGATGCTATAGACTCATTACTTGTCTTCTCCATGTTATACTGCCTCCCCCGTGACCTACCTATGTTGTGAGTGCTACTTATAATCCCCCTCAATCCCCTTCTCCCTCCTTGCCCACCTGCCCTCCCCACCCCCTTCCCTTTGGTAACCGCTAGTGCCTTTTGGAGTCTGTGAGTCTGCCACTACTTTGTTCCTTCAGTTTTGCTTTGTTGTTACACTCCACAAATGAGTGAAATCATTTGGTACTTGTCTTTCTTCACCTGGCTTATTTCACTGAGCATGAAACCCTCTACCTCCATCCATGTTGTTTTGCAAATGGTAGGATTTGTTTTCTTTTTATGGCTGAATGAATATTCTATTGTGTATATGTAGCACATCGTCTTTTTCCATTCATCTACTGATGGACACTTAGATTGCTTCCATGTTTCGGCTATTGCAAATAGTGCTGTGATAAACATAGGGGTGCATATGTCTTTTTGAATCAAGGATCTTGTTTTCTTTGGGTAAATTCCTAGGAGTGGAATTCCTGGGTCAAATGGTATTCCTATTTTTAGTTTTTTGAGGAACCTCCATATTGCTTTCCACAATGGTGGAACTAATTTACATTCCCACCAACAGTGTAGGAGGGTTTCCCTTTCTCTGCATCCTTGCCAGCATTTGTTGTTCCTAGTCTTTTCTATGTTGACCATCTTAACTGGTGTGAGGTGGGATCTCATTGAGGTTTAATTTGCATTTCCCTGATGATTAATGATGTGGAGCATCTTTTCATGTGCCTGTTGGCCATCTGAATTTCTTCTTTGGAGAAGTGTCTGTTCAGATCCTCCGCCCATTTTCTTAATCAGGTTATTTGTTTTTTGGGTGTTGAGGTGTGTGAACTTTTTCTGTATTTTGGATGTTAACCCTTATCAGATAAGCCATTTATGAATATGTTCTCCCATACTGTTGGATGCCTTTCTGTTCTGCTGATGATATCCTTCGCTGTACAGAAGCTTTTTAGTTTGATGTAGTCCCACTTGTTCATTTTTGCTTTTGTTTCCCTTGCCTGAGGAGACGTGTTCAGGAAAAAGTTGCTCATGTTTATAGTCAAATGATTTTTGCCTACGTTTTCTAATGTGAGTTTTATGGTTTCATGACTTACATTCAGGTCATTGATCCATTTCAAGTTTACTTTTGTGTATGGAGTTAGACAATAATCCAGTTTCATTCTCTTACATGTAGTTGTCTGGCTTTGCCAGCAGCAGTTATTGAAGAGTTTATCATTTCCCCATTGTATGTCCATGGTTCTTTATTGTATAGTAATTCACCATGTATGTGTGGGTTTATATTTGGGCTCCTATTCTGTTTTATTGATCTATGAGTCTGTTCTTGTGTCAGTACCAAATTGTTTTGATTACTGTAGCTTTGTAGTACAGCTTGAAGTTGGGGAGCATAATCCCCCCAGCTTTCTTCTTCCTTCTCAGGATTGCTTTATCTATTTGGGGTCTTTTGTGGTTCCATATGAATTTTAGAAATTTTAGAACTATTTGTTACAGTTTGTTGAAGAATGCTGTTGATATTTTGACAGGGATTGCCCTAATTTATAGATTGCTTTAGGCAGGATGGCCATTTTGACAATATTAATTCTTCTTATCCAAACTTCAACTATTTTAAACTATTTTTGGCATAATTTCTATACTTATATTGCTTATATTATATACTATTTGAATTTTTTTAATTTATATTTCATTTCCCTGAATTGATTAAAACCTCTTCGAAGCAGCAATCCTTTTTTATTCTTTACATTGCCTCAAGGTGATCAACTCAGTGTCTTCTTCATAGTAGATGTTCAATAAACGTGTGGATAGACAGTGATTGATTAATTGGCTGGGAAAATGCCATTACTACCCAATTCCTGAGCCCAAAGGAACACAGTCCTGGAGAGCCAGCATGGAGATTGTGAATAACATTCTAAATAACAGTCAGATCTATAACATGTGAAAAGAAGTGCATTATCTTACGCAGCAGTTATGCCTGGCTACAAAAAGCAAGAGTATTGTTTTTACAAAAGACGAAAGAGTTCCTCTGGGCAAAAGAACCTGTCTCCTGCCATACCAAGAGGAAGTGTTTGAATTAAAGACTTATAGTCAGGGAGCTTTCATTCTCCTAGGTCTTTTCTGAACATCGGTGATTATAATTACATTATAATAACATTAGTAAGATGCTTATTTAATCTGTCACTACTCATTGCCCTTCCGCCTCAAAAAGAGCTGTCGTTTAAGGTTCCTTCCACCCCTAACATCTTGGGTCTTGTATGCTGTACTTACAGGTGTCAGTTCAGTGATCAGACCCTCACACTGCGAATGTAAGTGTCAGCTCGCACGCAGCCTCCTTACTGGTCACCACTGAAGGACATTTCTTAGGTGTTTGGTGTGTCTGGAGTTGTCAGCTCAAGTGACCTTGTATAATTGATGTAGGTATAATTGTGCCCACCTTCCTCGCTCAGCTGCTGTGGCCTATGAATGCCATTTACAACAATAACAAGGAAACTACCCAGACTTACGTTTTTTCGGAGAACAATTTAAGAGGATTATTCTGCATCTTGCTTTGAATATCTCTGGACGAAACAGAGAGACAAAGCCTACTGAAAGGAAATACCACAAAGACCATGATTTTTATGCTGGGAATACTAAGTTTATTAGAAAACAGACAATATGATATAGGTAGGAGTTAGAATTCGGTCTAGAGGGGGTGAAATTCTTCATCAGTAGTTAGTCTGAAGAGGTATCTTCAGTGGCTACTCCAAGCTAGTTTGAAGAGATGAGAAATGGGTTTCTCAAGAAGAAGCATGTTGTTCTGCCATGAAGCCAAGGGATAGCAGGATAGACCAGCTGTCTACTGGGTAACCTAGTGATGACACACTGCTCAGCAGCAGGAGGTCCTGCAGGTGCTGCGGCAGGCGGCAGGCTGGCAGCAGGGGGGGCGGCAGCAGGGGGCCTGCACAGAGATGGGCTGGCAGCAGGTGGAGGCCCAGCAGCAGGGGCGGCAGACCACGGCCGTGCAGGACGTGGGGCAGCAGAAGATGGGGCAGCAGCAGCCGTCCTGCCCGGAGCATGGGTCACAGCAGACGGGGCGCCGGCAGGGCTCGCAGATGGGGCGTGTGCAGCGGGGCACGCAGGTCACGGGGCGGCACACGGTGGTCTGGGAAGACACGGGGAGACAGCAGCAGGGGTCGCGGTAGCAGCCTCCCCCACAGCTCAGGGAGGAGAAGCCGGAGCCGCAACAGGAGTCGATCATGGTGGTGTCTGGAGCTGGGCTGGGTTGGGCTGGTGAGAGGATTTGGGTGTTCTTGGGTGTGAATGTCTTCCTCCTGCTCTGGGCCCTTTATATACCCTGCACAGGCGCTGATGACCCCTAGACCTACATCATTTCCTTGTTTTTGTTTTTTCTTTCTGAAAAGGCACTGGCAGGTTAGTAACTTCTTTAGACATTTTTTTTTTAGGTGCTCAGGTACTCATGAAAGACTATTTGCTTTCCTTATTTAAAAGAGACCCATTATATTTTGCTATTTATGGTTCACCGTGAACTTAATGTCCCTAACTTCAAAGTCCCCAATTATCTTTACGAGTCAGTGATGCTTTTCCCAGCTGTTGTTTTGATAGCACAGAGTAGCCGTCATGCTCTTACGGTAATTACTAATAGTGGAAGTGAATTCTCCGAGGTGTGAGTGACCTTTTACACTGCAAAGCTTCCTGGACAAAACAACTTCAGAAAAATACCAAAGGAATATTTTAAAAGTCACGGTTTGTTAGCCAAAGGAGAACTTTGCAGTGTACTTTTTGGAGCTACGGGAATGCATCTTAGTGGACCTCTTATCAGTGGCTTTTTTTTCCCAATTTTTTTTTTTGTGATAAAATACACATAACATAAAATTACTGTCTTAACCATTTGTGTACAGTTTGGTGGTCCTAAGTATAGTCATATTGTTATTCACCATCCATCTCTAGAACTCTTTTCATCTTGCAAAACTGAAATTGTGTACCCATTTAACAGTAATTGCCCATAAACCCTTCTCCCCAGCTCTGGAAACCACATTGTAACTTCTTTTTTAAAAATCATCTCTGCTTTTCTCCCATAAACTGTAAGCATTGGCTGCAACACTCCTAGATATATGCAGGCCACTTACCTGGTTCCTTATGCGTAAAATGTGGAGTATTATCCCAGCCTCTGGGAGCCACTATTCTACTCTCTGTTACTATGAGTTTGGCTTTCTATTTTGGTCTTTGATGCACACTTATTAATTCCCATAGCTGTATCCTTCCAAACCATGGTGAATTTCATTATTTATAATCTTCATGATAGCCAGTATTATTGAGTTCTAATTATATTCTAAACACATTTCTTTATGCTAAAAGAAATAAATGTATTAATTTATTCTTCATAATAATCTTATTAGGTCGGTATTGTTATAGTCCTCATTTTACATGTCAGGGACCAGATAAAGGACTTGCTAAGGCCAAACACCTAGTAATGATGGAGCCAATACTTAATCCAAAAATATCTGTGGGAACATGACTTGTAAGGCTAAGGAAATGAAGAATGGAATTGTTGTTACCACATTCCCTGTCATTAAGGAATGTCTGCTTTATTTAGGAATTTCAGCAGTGGCTTATTTTTAAAATAGTTGTTATTTGTGAAATGGCTAATTTTTAGAGTCCTTTGAAAATCTTACTGGTTGAATGCACTGTGTTTTCCCGATTCTTGTCTTCTAGAAGAAAAGAACTCAGTTAAGAGACAAGATGGTTTTAAACAGCAAGAGTTTATTTTTTTATTACTTTTTAACATCATTTGTTAAATTAAGGTATTATTGATATACACTTTTATGAAGGTCTCACATTATGAAAAAACAATGTGGTCACTACACCCACCTATGTTATCGTGTCCCCCCCACGCCCCACTGTAGTCACTGCCCATCAGTAGAGATGCCACAGAGTCACTATTAAACAGCAAGAGTTTATTAAGCAAAATATTAAGTACACTCTCAAAAGGGTTGAGAGTGGGCTGTCTGGAAACCAGAAGCAGTCCTGCTATTAGGGTTAGGCTGGCTTTTATTTTTTCCTAAGATAGCGGGAAGTCTTGCCCTGCATCGTATGTCATTTGATTGACAGGTTGATTGACAGCTCTAGGTTATATAACTTTTTTCTCAGTGCACAGGCACCTACCTATAAGTACCTAAGTGAAGCTCACCGGGGGGGGGCCAAAACCACAATGCTAATTAGATTTAGATGTTATTTTAATGAGGTGGGGTTACTTTCGGACAAGGCCTTTGGACCTTGCCCTTGCCCTGTAATCAGGGAAGCCCCTGTGGTCTCGGGCCTCTGAACAGTCTCGGTGTCCTTGACTGTCTGGGCCTCCTCATAAGCTAGGATACATATCCTTGACTGTGAAACTGGGAGCTACGGAGGGCGTAGGGGTTGGCAAGGGAGGAGTCTTCTTGGTGATGGGCTGGCCCTTTTCTCCTGCTTATGTTTAACTAACTGCCTACTATAACAAAAGGACTATGTCTTACCAATATCTTTGGAAATTGAAAGAATTATCTTCCACAGAATCTTCTCAAAATTCCAAAAGATACCCTAAGGGAATAGTATCAAAGTTGGACATGATCGAGTGGCCACTGGGCATTATAACAAAGCCAACATCCAGATGAAGGTTGCAGTAGGCCTGCAGGACAAAATTCCCAGGTAGTGATCCCAGCAAAAGGTGGCCTCCAGGCCTGCCCTGCCCATACCCCGGGGTTTCTTGCTCCATTGTCTCCCCATGGACTGTACTTGACCTTGTTCCTGCTTACACAACCCACTGTGATTTTCTGTTGTTTCAAACTGTCAGGGTCAGTAGGAAAATCATGTTGGCCAACCATTTTGTAGACTTTGCCTCTGAATTTCCTTGGTTCTGACCTTGTGCTTTATAACCAAGTTTGTTGTACATCTGTGGTTGGAAGCTCCAGTTTAAGCTTTCTTGATTATTCTGCTTGAGCAGTTCCTTGCAGGCTTCCCAGACCTTCACCAGCCACTGTGGCTAACCAAGGCATGGAATTACTGTGGAAACAAACATGATCCAATAATAAGGATGAGCTTGAGAGAAAATAAAGCAGCCTACATCTGAGCAAATACTATGAGGATGTTTCTAGAAGGCTAACAAGGAAAATTCTGCCAGGCAGGAAACAGATGTAGTTAGAGAATTTTAAAAATGGTGATGGAGAATATGTAGAAAGAAACTGGACTTGGGAGCATATCCACAAGTAAACTATCAAACCCTTAATAAAGAGAAAACTCCATTGTGCACATGCTGACAATGTTAAAGTTCTGAATATAAGTGCTTTTTATAGAGAAATGTTTACTGTATTTCAGTATTTCACATTTCATTTTCTTCAGGAGGTGGCTGTTGTCTTATTGTAAGAATGCACATGTCCAGGATGACGGCAGAATCACGGTGGGACAACAATGTCTTTCTCTCTTCTCACCCTGCAGAACTTACTCATTAGATCATTCAACAGATAATTTTCTGATTATATGCTATGTGACAACTGTTGTGCAGGTCAATGGGAATCTAGTAGTAAATAAAGTCAATCAAGATCCAGGCTTTCACAAAGCTTGTCTTGCCTGACTCCTCTCACATGGTCAGGCAGACAAGCAACACTTTCCAAAAAAGTCTTTTGGAGCAGAAGTTGGGAACTCAATAGACATTTCTCAGGAAGTACAGTAGTGGTTAGTTTCCTGACCAAGCTAAAAGGGATTAACAAGAAAATATATCCAATGTGGCTTGGTGTCCTCACTATTTCAGCTACACTGGCATTGTTTTAATATAAATTAAAACTGATGTAACCTTATTTGGAGTTCCAGATTAGAATGGTTCCAACCAAGCGACATTTCTCCCTCTCTTCTCAGCAGCAGTGCGTCCACTGAAATCAGAACTGGCCACAAAAAAGATGGGATAGTGGCTCTTCCAGCACAGACAGGCAGTGGTTAGGGATTCCCAGTTACCAGCTGCTATTAATCACTGCACAGTTTTCTAATTCGGAAAACACATGGGGCTCTGCCTTAGGCTTCCTCCTTCTCAACATATGTGTGTGGATGATTTGTGAGCCAAGTCCATGATCAGAGAGTCCTGCTGTAATTTCTTCATGTCCTTAGCATCACCACAAAACCTGTGGCTTCAAATATAAAGGTGCTTCCCAAAAGCTGTTCTGAATTATTTGAATTGCTATTAAAATCACAGACTTGGCACCTGAATTGTTCCTAAAGCTAAAAAATAAACAGCTCTTGGAAAATCCTTCTTCCTTTGGTTCTTCTGATTCTGCATAATATAACTTAAGCTAAAAATGAGCTTTTAAAGATTAATAAATAAAAAAGGGAAACACACTTGCTCTCCAGAAATAAAATTTTATTATTTTACTGTGCAAAAACCCAGTATAAATATATTATCCTGGAAAAATAACCTTATCGTGGAATAGTGGAATAGTAGAGAAGTGATGATGAGTCAGTGGGACAGGCTCATTCAAGACGAACTTTGATCTTTATTTACTCATTTTTTTCAAGCCAGGAATTCAAATGATGGAAGCTGGAATTTTTCTAACCATTGTCAAAGAGGGCCAGGATTAACTGCATAATTATGTGGGAAACTGGATAGACAGTTATTGTTGAGTTAGTTGTTGAAGAGCTGATAGCTTGCAAAGGCGGTATCTCTCATCTGATCCATAAGGGATGGGAAGAGTTTGCATGTTTCTGCACACCTGACAGTGTTCTGTGCAGAGCTGCTCAGCAGCAGGAGGTCCTGCAGGTGCTGCGGCAGGCGGCAGGCTGGCAGCAGGGGGGGCGGCAGCAGGGGGCCTGCACAGAGATGGGCTGGCAGCAGGTGGAGGCCCAGCAGCAGGGGCGGCAGACCACGGCCGTGCAGGATGTGGGGCAGCAGAAGATGGGGCAGCAGCAGCCGTCCTGCCCGGAGCATGGGTCACAGCAGACGGGGCGCCGGCAGGGCTCGCAGATGGGGCGTGTGCAGCGGGGCACGCAGGTCACGGGGCGGCACACGGTGGTCTGGGAAGACACGGGGAGACAGCAGCAGGGGTCGCGGTAGCAGCCTCCCCCACAGCTCAGGGAGGAGAAGCCAGAGCCGCAACAGGAGTCGATCATGGTGGTGTCTGGAGCTGGGCTGGGTTGGGCTGGTGAGAGGATTTGGGTGTTCTTGGGTGTGAATGTCTTCCTCCTGCTCTGGGCCCTTTATATACCCTGCACAGGTGCTGATGACCCTCTGGACACAGGTCATTTCCTGGAGTTGTGGTTGCTCATGGAAATGGGAACTCAAGATTGGTGCGTTCAGCTGCTCAGGCAGCAATTCCAACATCACTGGAGGATGCTGTCTGCTTTTTCCCTTGAAATGTATTCCTGGTTATTTTTATCAGAAAAAATTCCTCAGTTGAATAGCCAATCTTCCAAAAAACCATTATCATTGATGAGCTCAGTCTGAAGGACCCACTGTCACCACCACCATACTTTCTTCTTGCTCACCATCCACCACAAGGCAGGACACTATGATGTCCATGAGGTCACAAGCCTGGCATCTGATTGACGTTGAGATGAAGAAAGAATTTATGAAAAACCAAAATGGCTCATAAACGGAGATGTATACTGGTTCTGCTATGAAACAAACGTGACAGTGCTTCTGAAAACAACATATTGCTTCACGCTGTTTATGAGGAAATAACTACTAAACCCACGAGAATGATGCTGTTTAGTAACATGAATTGGCATATAACTAATAGCCCTTAAGAGACACTTACTATGTAAACTATTTGAGAGTGTCAATGGAAAAGAAAGAAAAATAATTGCATTTCTTATTACACAGTAACTACAAATTTTAGGAAGGCAAGACAAAGACAGGTAAAGCAATTAAAAGAGAAGAATTTTCCATAGGACAATAAGGTCAAACTAAATGAGCATTTTATTCATATTGTACCTTTTGGAATGTCCCTCTGTGAATGTGGCCTTAGAATCAGATTGAAATTAGGGTATTTCTTGCCACTTAGGTGTGATATAAGCACTTGTATTGAGTTATACAAAACATATTGAAAATACTTATAAGGAACCAATTTTGTCTTTAGCAGATGCTTTGGTCTGTTGGCCGAGGGTTTTGATTCCTTATGAATTGTGAAGGTGGGCTTCTGAAAAAGATGAATTAAGTGAACTGGTGACTAATAAAATAGCTTTGTCTGTTTTCAGGCACAGCAAAGAAAAATGGGGATATAAAAAATAAATTTATAGTTGGAAGTTAGGTTTAAGATAAGGGTCTGAGGGTTACTGATGGCCCTCAGCCCAAACTTTGCTCCAAAGTACATCTTATTTGGTGTGATCATTTTTCATACACTCCTTATTCTGCCATAGCCCTGGTCCTTGAAGGCCTGTGAGTTTGCGATCTATCATAGTCCGTCTTCGTTTTTGGAAGACCAAGTTTGTGAATTGATTTCTCCAAAGCCATACAGAAAAGAAGTGGCAAAGCTTTAACAGTACTACAGCCCTTCTGTTGAGTACAAGCACTGATGAGGAAGTGACCCCTATCTTTTCCCAACTCTGAGTTACTTCAAAATAGTGAACATTTAGTACAGTACTAGTTATCAAAAATTCTATTCCATCCAGTGAAATCAAGTAAGAACTTGATTTATGGTTTGGCATATTGTTATTTGGCTTAGACTATACACAGAGATTCACATATTAGAAATAAGAACATGTCTGCCAACTGACTGCTATTGTTAACTGACTGAAGGAGAGAGTACCTCTGTGTTCTAAGATCATAGATTGTCAGAAACTTTGCTGTTTGAAGTAAAGTCAGTAAAAAGGGAAGATCGCACTCTTGCCTGGACAGAATCTTAGTCACCTTAACACAGAGAAACAGCCTCAACATCCCGCCCAGAGGCAGAGTATCAAATGATAAGATTTTCAGACAGGATACTCCCATTTATCTTAACTATGTAGTTTCTGAAGAAAGAGGACCGGACATCCTAGAAAGAGGACCCGATGTCCATCACAGCCCAGTCCAGAAGTTAATTCTTTTGCACAAAGCCCTATTTTGCTTTGAGTCTATCACAGCACCATTTCATGTAATTTTAACTAAACTCCACCATTCCTTAAAATCCTGTAAAAACCTTTCTTCTTTCTTCATTTGGTGGGATGCCCCAGGGTCTTATGCTATGTGGTCTCCCGTGCTATTGCACATTAATGAACCTTGGCTTGTTATGCAAGAGATGGGTCCCGTGTCTTTATTACGTGGGTTTTTTTAGTCATATTATTCAAATTCCAGACATTCTACAAAAGCATCATTCACTAGAGTTGGGAGCCAGTAAATGTTAACCACAAGGATGATATTGTGGAACTTTTGTGGTTGAAGTGGAGAAGAATGTAGTGTTGATGATGTTTTGTGATGGTTGAACCATGCCCTCATCTTAATAGTTTCATGAGTTGTGTTTTGTTAGGAACTAATTTAGGGGCTACTGGATGTTAGAAATATTTTTAAATTCTGAAAACAGATTATACATTTTTTGTTCTCCAAAATTATCTTTAAAATATCCTTCAATCATAAGAGTCAGAGATAAGGATGGGGAAGATTGAGGAAGAAAGGGCAGGAAGAGGGTGGAGAAGATGAACAAGTGTTCAGACCCTGCCTCTGTCACCGGTCAGCCATGTAACTCGGAGCACATACTTACACTCTGCCAGCCTGTTTCCTCATCTACAGAATGGGAAGAGCCTTCTCTCCCTGGTGTTTTTCATAGGCTAGGCTTATCCTAAAACTGATACAAATGTGGAAAAGAGAAGAAATGGACATCAACAACTGAAAAGAGAAAATGTTTTAGTTGGAAAAGACAGCAGGACTTAAGGGAACTGGTGGGATTTGTTTCTGGAATTTAAAAACAACTATCTCTTCTAAGTGGTTTAGATATTCATCTGCCTAAAGCCAGTGAAGTCTAACCAACTCATCTTTTGGAATCTTTTACAGGCTTGAATTATTTCATTCCTTTGGGTGGCTCAGGATGAAAGGAGAAGTCTATCGGATGCATATATTCTCCCCAGCTCTTCTTTGCTCCTGATGCCAAACCCTTCTTCATAAATCTGTAATCTAAGACTCTGTCCTATGGTCTTGCACTTTAGATTTAAAGAGCCCTTTCATTCTGAGACAGCCTCCATCTGATAATGAATTTTTTTACCTTCTTTATTGTGTTTGTTGAATCCTTTTCTGCCATTGGATGCGGACTCTCCTGGAAAAAACAACAAAAATGCACCCCCTCCCCGAATCCTTTCCCACTCTCAGTGACACGATATGTAACATGTAGCACATCTTTTAGGCCTATTTGATATGGTGATTGTTCAAATGTGCAACAAGGGATATAAATGAATGGTACTGGGTATTTTCTATATGGCAGGCAATTTACACAAATAAAGTCATTTAACTTTTCCAGCAATCAACATCAATAAACATAAATTTTCCCATTTTGCAGGTTAGAAAACCTAAGGGTCAAAGAAGTTAAGTAATACTGATGCTCAAGGGTCTTTTTTTTCTTTAAGTAAATATCTACCTTTAAGAATTCTTGTCATAAAGAGAACCCCATTCCAATTTAGTTTGCGTCAACAAGTAGAAACCAAATACCAACTATATTTTGAATACTTTAAACATTGAGCTCAGTACTAGGAGCCAGAATAAACAAACTGTGGCCCCTCTGTTGGAGGTAGAGAAATAGATAATCTCAATACAGTGCCTTATGGGAAGGGAGGTAAGCTCAGGATACTATTGGCATGTTAGGGACACTTAACCTAGACTGTGTGCGTGTGTGTGTGTGTGTGGAGGGGTTAGGACGGAGAATACTGAGCTAAATCTTGAAAATAATTCAGACTTAGGTAGCTGAGGAAGAAGATATGGGAAAGAGTAGGTGAAAGGATATTCCATACAAATGAAAGAACATGACATAACAAAAGATGTGTGGAACGGCACAGCATGTGCCGGTTACTGTGAGACATTCACTGTTACCTGAAGTAAAACTTAGTGGGGAGTGTTGAGACATGAATCTGTAGATGTGGGCAAAGGACAGGCCAGGGAGACCTGGTGGGAACAGGGTTCCTGCCCACGCGAGCAGTCAGAGCCCTGGCTTGGCTGTGCGGTACCACCTTCCCGGACTCATACCAGGATTCCTTTCCCTCTCCTGCCCTCCTCATCTCTCCATCTCTCCTTTCCTCTTCCTCTTCACTCCTCTTGTTATTCATTGTCTGCTCACCTGTGTACACTAATAAATAGGCACAAATGAATGAATCAAGTGGCAGGGAAGTTCACAGGAAAATTAGTTTATTGAGAACAGGCAAGAAGCACATGACAAAAGCTGAAGGGGAGGGTTCGAGCAGCCTCTGGAGTTGAGGATGAGTTTGTGAAGTCCACTCCAGGGATTCTTTTAAAAGACGGATTCATCATCCATGTTGACTTCCGGAGACTCCTGGGAATTGGGCTGAAAGTGATGATAGACATCTGCTTGTATATCCAGATAGATGTAAAAATGACTGTTGTCACCCTATGGAAAAAATCTATTTTTCCTTCAACTTGATTGAAGTGCAGAAGAGGTGAATGCTACTCTGTGCAGATGGTGAGGGGTTCTCAGCAGCAGGAGGTCCTGCAGGTGCTGCGGCAGGCGGCAGGCTGGCAGCAGGGGGGGCGGCAGCAGGGGGCCTGCACAGAGATGGGCTGGCAGCAGGTGGAGGCCCAGCAGCAGGGGCGGCAGACCACGGCCGTGCAGGACGTGGGGCAGCAGAAGATGGGGCAGCAGCAGCCGTCCTGCCCGGAGCATGGGTCACAGCAGACGGGGCGCCGGCAGGGCTCGCAGATGGGGCGTGTGCAGCGGGGCACGCAGGTCACGGGGCGGCACACGGTGGTCTGGGAAGACACGGGGAGACAGCAGCAGGGGTCGCGGTAGCAGCCTCCCCCACAGCTCAGGGAGGAGAAGCCGGAGCCGCAACAGGAGTCGATCATGGTGGTGTCTGGAGCTGGGCTGGGTTGGGCTGGTGAGAGGATTTGGGTGTTCTTGGGTGTGAATGTCTTCCTCCTGCTCTGGGCCCTTTATATACCCTGCACAGGTGCTGATGACCCCCTGGACACAGGTCAT